CTTCCTTCCACTGAGACTAATTACGAGGGTTTAGTGCTCTGAGAGACCTCAGGAGATAAACGAAACAGCCCACAAGGTTAAAGGAAGCACAAGTGCACATATAGCATGGAGCTGAGCTAACAAATGGATCTCAGGCCCCTGTGAGTCACTTTATGAACAAAGAGCTCACACGCAGTTTAGATTGAATGCTGTTACCGTGCAATCTTATATCAGTTTTATCTTGCAGGGGCTAAAAAGTACAACTGTGTCGCCGAGAGGTCGAACGATTTGCCAACAATCTGACAAAACTGGTGAAAACTGCTAAACTAGAAAATGTTAAATAAGCTTGCAGCAGAGTCATACACGTGTATGGATGAGGACAAACCCTGCATGGTGAAGAAAATCCCTTTTATGGCTGCAGAGTAATTCAAGACTGCTGTGCAGGATTTAGACAGACATGTTTCTTTGTTAAAGATCAAGCGAAGACTTCAGGCTCGAACCTTTGAGGATGCAGCACACGCACAAACCCCATAACAAAAAACAGAACCACTAAGGCTAGGTTGTGGTTTGGGCATGCATGGCTGCCAGTGGATATCCCACACCCACAAAAGCAAGCAGCTGAATGAATGCAGACTTATACAGAAGCGTTGTGTTTGTACACATTAATTCAAAGGCATAAAACCTTATTGGAGCACATTTCATCGGTCAGCTGGGCAGTGATCCTAAACAAATGGATAAAACAACCAAAGAGCTTTTAAGGTGGAATAACTTGGCTGAGTCACCTGTTCTCAGTCTGATTAAACTGCAGTCTACCTGCTGTGTGTCACAGCAAAGACGCAAGGAGCCTAATGGGTTTCTATGGACCCCAGACTTCAGGCAACCATAAATCACAAAAGACTTTACACAAAATATGAATTATTATTATATTTATAACAGGAATGGTTCTCCCACGCAGCTCTTTTAACAGTGATTCTGACACTTTGTCACATTGTGACAAATATTTACTGTGTACTTTGGAAAAACATGTCACAATAACCTGAAAGCAATATTCCAGTCTCAGTGCATCAAACAGTCCCACACTGCTTTTACAACTAGGGCTGGGCCAGCGCTCACGGTAATACCGGTATAATGCTGGGCAACGATAAGAAAATGAAATATCGCGATAGAATATGGGTAAAACGTGCCTTTGTTTTCATACGCACACGGCAGAAAAATCATGGCAGCGACGCAGAATGAGAAAGGCGAGAGCGGATCGTTGAATGAAACCATGAACCAGAACTGGTTTGTAAAAATGCTGCAGCTTCACTGGTGTGGAACTGGTTTAGCTTTCGTCCGTCAGATACACAACAAAGCACTATTTTTGGTAGCGCATGCTAGCGGGCCGTCGTTATTACCGTGTTGTTTGGAAAATACGGCGCACTTAAAATCAATCCTTTGATTTTTCTGAAAGTCGACAGAGCCCCTTATAATCCCGTGTCCTTATGTATGAACTCTGGTTGTGTTTACTGACCTGGAAACGATTTTATGTGCACGGCGCTCGAAAATCTGTCAAATGTTTCAGTACGACTTTGCTGAGCTACGAAGCCGCACCGCTTGATGGATTGTTGGAGCGTTACGGCTATCGTAGGCGGAGCCTCGTGAACACAACTGGGTAGCTGTCACTGTTTCGTACACCATTAATGTGGAATGGCTCGTCTGAATTCAAATCTTAGATTATAATAAACTTGACTGTTTATTTTTAACTGAAACATGGCTGGGCTCGGATGCACCAGTTGTTCTCACTGAGGCCTCCCCACCAAATTTTAATTTCTCTTTTTCTATTAGAAGTGGTGAGAGAGGTGGTGGGACTGCATCTTTAGCCAACAACACACTCACCACCAAACACATTTTATTTGATCATTTTACCACTTTTGAATTCCACGCTATTGTTTTCAGCAGCCCTCCAGTTTTATCTGTCACAGTTTACAGACCACCTAAAGACAGCGCTGCTTTTATCAAGGAATTCTCAGAATTTTTAACAAACATACATTCAAAATATAATATGATAATTTTAACCGGTGATTTTAACCTGCACATAGATAATCCTTCTGACCCTGCAGCAAAAGAATTCTTAAACATTCTTCACTGTTTGGATTTTACCAGCACGTCACACAGCCGACTCACAACAGAGGACACACTCTGGACCTGGTCATCACCCATGGGCTGTCCACCAGCGTGTCCTCTGTTGTTGACTTGGCTGTCTCTGACCACTACTGTGTGTTCTTTAACATCACCGGTTTTATTCAGCGGTGCGAACTGTGAGGAGGCGCTATCTAACCTCTGAAGTGGCTGCAAATTTTACCAGGGTTTTAGACGAATGCCCCCCTGTGATTCTACCTGCACCCTGCGATTTGATTTTTAGTTATTTTAACAGCAAACTGAAGAAAAGCCTTGACTCCGTTGCTCCACTCACCACCAAAAAGATTAACGTAAAACATGCATCACCCTGGAGAAACGAAGAAGTCAAAACACTCAAAAGAAATTGCAGGGCAGCAGAAAGGAGATGCAGGAAAAATAAAAATGTAATTAACTATCAAATACTTTGCGAGCAACTTAAAATGTACAATAATACATTAATAATCCCAAGGTCCTCTTTTCCACCATAGATCATTTATTTAACCCTGATTTTAACAGCTCCCAAAGAAGCCCACAGACTCGCTCTGTGAGCAGTTTGCAGATCACTTCAGGGGAAAAGTCAGCGCCATCAGATCTGATATTTTATCCCCTCTTCACTTTATGGATTCTTTGAAGCTGAGCTTTTATACATGATGAACTGCTCTCTTCAGTTGGGTGTCTTCCCTGCTGCCTTTAAAACGGCGGTGGTGAGGCCCCTTCTGAAGAAGAGCAGTTTGGATTGTAATGACTTTAATACAGACCTGTATCCAACTCACCATTTTTAAGTAAAACTTTAGAAAAACGTGTTTTTACTCAGATTAATGACTTTCTGAATGATAGACAGATCCTGGAGATATTCCAGTCTGGATTTAGGGTGAACCACAGCACAGAGACTGCTCTCCTAAAGGTTTTAAATGATCTTAGATGTAACTGGGACGCCCAAAAGCTCTCAGTCCTGGTGCCGCTGGATCTAAGCGCAGCCTTTGATAGAATCGCTGCACTGGCTCCCCGTGTGTTTCAGGATTTTAAGGTTCTTTTATTGGTTTTTAAATGTCTTAATGGTCTTAATGGTCTTCTTATCTCTCACATCTGCTTTTACCATATGAACCCTCACGGACCCTGAGGTCCTCTGGTACTGGCCTTTTGATTGTCCCTAAAGTCAGGACACATGCTCACACTCGCACTACACTCACACTACATTCTCACTACACTCGCACTACTCTCAAACTACACTCACACTACACTCTCACTACAGTCACACTCGCACTACACT